GGCCAGAACATCAACGCGATTGAGGGACACTCTATGGAAGCTCATGCGAAAACATTTCACTCCCAAACTCTTCTTTGTCCCTCAAGCCATTGCGTCGGAGATCTGCTGTCGATCGGCCTTCGAGCCGTTCCTCTTTTCGATCTTTCAACAGCTTCTCTTCCGCACAAATGGAAAAACATCCGGTGTCCAAAAGCTGCTTCAGAGCTGTTTTTGCGCCCCTCAGCTTGGTTAAACTTAAACAATCAGCCACCATGGAATGGTGGTCAACACATCTGATCTCTCCCTTGAGAGAATTCAAATCAATCTTCCCTTATGATCTGGAATCTGGACCTCAATGGCGGTCCGCCGATCCTGTCCCCCGATGGTCTCCCGGGACAAGTAGTCGAAGAGACTCTCCGCACCCACTATTGCCAGGCAACCTCGCAGCTGCTCATCGCTTTGGGCGGAAGCCAGCGCGAGGATCTCATCATGCCTCAGGTTCGAGGCCCAGTCTCTCAGCGACATCTTTTCTTCTTGCAGCTCTCGAAAAAGCACCAGCGCCCAAGTCAGGTCTCCAAGACCTTTGCTCAAGCTTTGGGCCTCCGCTGCAAGAGTCAAGTTTACGACTCGCTGTAGCTTGCCACTACGCCACCAGAGCAGGTTGGCTGGAACTTTCTTCCCTTCTCTCAAGCCGACCTCGTGGCTGATGATCATCTGTCCTGCTTGCGAGTGGAAGTCGCTGTTGCCAAACGATGCGTCCGTCACCACGGCAAACCGCATCCGACTCAGTGGCTGGATTCGAATCTCCAGTCCTGAGTTTTCTTTGATCTCCTTCACTGCCTCATTCATCATCAGGATGTCGTCCGCCTTCATCTTGTTGATCTTGGAGGAGCACAAGCTGGCGGCTGCTGAAGCGTCTGGTCGACCCTCCTTTGACAGCCAGTTCAAAGCCCCACACACCATCCTGGCTTGCTTTCGCTCTTCTTCAGTGACTTCACTTTCTTTCATCTTCTTCCGTGCCGTCGGAAGCACGATTTGGTTTAGCCTCTCCTCCACGAACTTCTTCATGTCAATCTTTATGGTATAGTCCGGCAGCTGCTGCAACCTTCTCCCATTGAAGCTCGCTCCATTGTCGGCCTTCTGCAGCTCCACCCATTTACCAAATTGGTATATCTCTCTGAGCTTCATCATCTTCTCCTCATGGAAGTGGTTTCCTGCCGTGAGAAGGTCGTCCACCTCGATGGCTACCATGCCTGCCAGTTGTCCATTTTGATGAAGCTTGAACAAGCAGGGGTCCATCCTGGACTGCACATAGCCAAACTCCTGGAGTGTGCTCACCAAGGACCTCCTCCAATGCAATGGAGCATCCACCAACCCATAGCATCCATTCACAATGAGGATGAGCTGCCTCTTGTCCACTCCTTCCAATCCATCTGCTGGGATCTCGAAGTAGATCTCGCCGGTCTCTCGATTCAGTGGAGCGGACTGACAAAAGGCATTCTTGAGGTCTCCAAGTGCGATGGGATATCGCTTGTTGGCAGCTATCTGCAGGAGCACGCTCACGTTGAGTGTCGTCACCGTTGGACTGTATCTATCTAACAGCAGCAGATCAGGGTCCTTGTCTCCCCTGATGCAGAGCCTGCTTTTCCTGGTTGGAGCTTCTCCCGGCTGTTCAGCATGCTTGTGCTTGCGAAGCATCCTTGATGGAAGAATTCGATCAAGCCTGCCTTGCCTCTTGAGCTCTTCTCGAAGTCGAAGTGACTCCACCAGGTCAAACACTTTGACGGCACCGCTTTGGGCAATCTTGTTCCATTCAGCACTGTCTGCTTCTCTCCACAGCTTCTTCGAGCTTTCACTCTCCAGCTTCAGGTTGACCTCTTCTGGTCCTCTTTTCTGTCATCCAACACTGCATCACCTTGGCCGTCTGATTTTCCTCCTTTGGTCCAGGACGCTCCTTCACGTCGAAGTCGGTATAGCCTTTCCACCACCAGGTGGATGACCCTTCCGGCGGAGACGTCCATGGCTCTTCTTCTTCTTCTTCATTCTTTCCTTCCTTTTGCTTGACCGTTCTTCTCAAACAGCCCAGGTCTTTCAGACTGCGCGGCAGATCTTTCGCCTTGCTGGGATCGAACTTGGTCTTCCTTTTCCGAACGTGATATCTCCTCAACGTCTTGCCCTCATTCACGAATTGCCAGTAGTCTTGATTCTTTCCTGGCCTCATTTCTTCGAGGAGCCATCTTTTTCGTCTTTCTTCGTCGTCATCTTCTTCTTCATCAGGGCTCACCAAGTACATCTCTGAGAAGTAGGGATCTCTTGTCGAGTTGGATCGCCACCTGGCCGGTTGTCCATATGGTAGCCCATCCAGGCGGTTTGCCTGGTCTATCGATCTTCGATATTGTTCTTGGATTTCTTCTCTAGTCATTCCTTCTCTTGGTCTCCCAGCTCCGGCCCCTTCTTCCACAGGTTGCCCCCGATCAACTCTTTCTTCTTCAATGCACTCTTCTTCTGGCTCATCAGCTGTCCTTTCACTGGCTGGACGTCGAACCGGATCTGCTGGATCACTTCTTTCTTCAATCACCGTGGGGGTATAGCTTCCTTCATCTGCTTCTGATTCTGGTCGGGCTTCTTCTTCTTGCCCTCGTTCTCCAATCCGCCTCCTATATGAGCCTCTTCTCCTCCTTCAGATGCCGGATTTCCTCCTTGTTCATCGACCTCGGCCTCTCGGCTTCTCTTCACTCCATGTCTTTCCCCATCTTGTTCTTCTTCTTCAGGCCACGGCTCCTGAGTGAGGTCTTTGAATCCGGCTCGATTGGATCGCTTTCGATATTCCTCCAACAGCTCCTTGCAGTCCTGCATGATCACTTCAATGCATTGTTCCCGGGCCGTCTTCCACAGTTCCCCAAACATGCTAATCCACAGGCTGGCTCCTTCAATCGAGATGACCGTGCCGGGCCCCACCCAGTATGGCTTGGCCGTAGCCCTATCCACGAAGTCTGGGCCTCCAACTCGTCGTTTCCGTTGATGCGGTACACGGTACACGTAGACATAGTCTCCTGCAGAGAATTCTTGTGGAGGTCGACTTCTTGCCCGGAAGGCCTTCTTGACCGTCTCATTGTGTTCAACAAAGGCCTTCTGCGCGACTCTTCGGCGCTCCAACTGTCTTTCCATGTCATCGGTAACTAACTGCAGCCTCCATCAGTGAAGTGTCCACCAAGTCATCAGTTATGGACACATCGCACAGTTGGGGCCATTGACCGATCTGTCTTTGCGCGGGAGAGTATCCCGACCTGTTTGAAAACCGGTTCTTGACCATCTCCACTTCCTGCATTAATCTTCGAAGCTCATCTTCTGAGCTCGCCACTGCCTCTGCTCGAGCTTTCTCAAGGAGGTCTTTGTAATGGGCTCCATGCCTCTCTGTCTTTCCTTGTTGCCAGGGCGCCCTGGCTGCAATCTGATGGGTGACGATGCCATGTGAGGCTGCCAGATTCATCATTCTTGAGGAAAATTCCTTTCCTGCATCCACCGCCAACACCTCGGTCGGGGAGTCCGAACGCTCTGATCCAAGTGTTCCTTAGGGTGTTCCATATGGTGTCAGGAGTCTTGTCTCCTACCTTCTCTACCATCTGGTAGTTCGTGCCCCAGTCCACTATGGACAAAGCGGGAAATGCACTGCCGCCTCCAACTTCTGGAATGAAGATCAAGTCCATGCCAATCACCTTGCAGGGCTGATAGGTCCTTGGGATGGCCACCGGTCGAACTGCCTTTGGCTCGGGATTTGCAGCGCATGCTTCGCACTTGAAGTGCTTTGCCGTCCACCTGACTATCTCTCCCCTCACCCTGGCAGCTCTCATCAGCCGGACCAGTTCATTGATTTGAGGATGTCCGACTCCACGATGCAACTTCATCACCATTTGCTTCTCATGTGGAGTTGGCTCATAGCTTGGAGCATCTTCCCCTGGCCTTGGTTCTTTGTCAACCTCTTCAACGAGCCGTCTTTCTAGCGCCTCCTCCAGGTCATCATCTTCTTCGTCGTGCTCGCCCATGAAGCACTCTTCGACTCGTTTTTTTGCTTTGAGAGCTTTCCTCAGTCCTTGAATCACGGCCTCGCAGAAGTCTTTGGTGTACTCCTGAGCTTTTCTGGTGAGTCCTTCTGCCTCAGGTGGTTCATGAAAGTGCGAATGATCACATTTCCTTCTCATCTCGCGCGCTATTTCTTCACAATTTGTCATCAACCACGTCGGCTTCTTGTTGAGGCCATGTCTCACCCTCAAACCGAACATGCACATGTCGCACTCGACCACCTGAACACCTTCCAGTTGCTCCACCTCCTTCACTTCTGCTTCATGCCATGACTTGGCCCCTTTCGGGTGTTCGAACAAGAACCATGCCTCGTCTCCATTGCCACTGAGCGATGAGCATCGACACTCTCAGGTGATGCAGCCCTTCCCCAACTAGTCGTATGACCATCATCCTGCTCATGTTGGGGTAGTTGATATTCTGCATGGGGCTGAATGCCACACATGGCGGACACAGCATCACCAATTCAGGATCTTCTTCTTGGAGAGTTTGCCACATTCGCTTCACCTGGGCCGGATCACCCAGATCCCATCCCGTGGCAAGATCAAAGGCTGTGCCTTCTTCTTTCTTCTTTGCTATCGGTCCCATCCTTGGGGGCGAATAGACTTCTGAGACTTTGGCCGTCTTTGCCAATTTCTCCATGTCCTGAGTCAAACTTCTTCTGCTTCTTCTGGACATAGATCTGCACTTATCTTGATCATCTACCTCCTCCAACGACATTCTATCTCCAGGTCGCCCACACCCGTACTTCAACCTCCTCATCCTCTGGGACATGGCCTGTTCTTGACACCCGTGGTTGGATCCCAGGCCTCATAGTCTTGACATAGCTTGAAACGGCTTCGAGGATCATCATACTTCATTTGGCTTGCCGAAGCCACCTTCTTCCTCTTCGGGTGTTGGCGTTCATCCATCCACCAGTCTCCTCCTTCAAAGTGTGCCATCGCTTTCCACCTCTATCGGGCCCTCGGTCTTCTTGGGCTCCGATCGGATCGTTCTTGGGCTCTTGGATCGTTGGCTCGAGTCCCGGTTGCCTCCCAGGTTGAACGAGGTGACTGACATCGCATCCGGGTCCGCTTCGGTCGGAAGCCATTGGAAGAACTCGCACGCTGTCTCGGCACAATTCCAGTACTTCCTTCCCCGGCGTGGTCCTTCCTTCTTCATGGCACGCAGTTCTGCCGGGCGTCCGCACAGGCAGATGGGCTTGTCGATCGTCTTGACCGCTCCCACTTCCTTCATCTTCTCGAACTCCGCCTTTTGAAGGGCTTCCTGCAGGACCTGTGACTGGATGACTGGATGTTCTTCTGCCGGATTGACCTCATAGTGTTCTCCCAGCGGTTGTGGCACATCCTGCAAGTGATGTAGGAGCTGGCGTGATTGCCACCCCCCTTGAGACTGGCTTTGGGGTGCACACAATTGCTGGCCGCCTTGCTCTTCAAAGGTGCCAGCTTCTTGGCCTGCGTGATGAGGTGGGCATAGATATCCTCCAGCGTCTCCTCGTCGGGAAACCATTCCTGGACGACGTGCTGGAGTTCTGTGAACACGATCAACGTGAAGATCTTGTCGAGCACCACTCGCCATCCCCTCACCGCCTTCTTCTGCCGACGAACGGGGTTGTTCTCCTTCATCTTGTTCGCGCTTGAAGTGGATGCCATCGCAGCGCTCATCTGGTGTAGGCGGCCCATGATGGACGCCATGGCACTTGACAGGAGTCTTTCCGAGTTGGTGGGTGGTCCCGACGGTTGCCTTGTCGTTCAGCTGAGCCGACATTGCTCCAACAAAGCGCTCATTGATGAAATCAGATTCAATCATGCCAGGTACTCCAGCTGGAAGAGAAAATCCGTGTTCGTGAAATTGCAGTACTTCAATCGTGACATGTCCACTGGGCAACTCATGCATCTTGACTGTTTTCTCATGCTCACTCATGACGAACGTGTAATCGAAAAAGTTCAACGCGACCCTCAACTGCTTCAACAACTGCACTGGCAATAATAATGGAACCTCCCCCTCAACCACGGTGCATTCCAAAATGCCGTTCATCCCCGAGATTCCGATGGGAATCCAAACCACTCCAACGACATGCGCAGCCCCACCTACCCCTTTTGCTGAGGATTGTTTGGGTGTCCACTTGCATTTCAGTCCCCTTTGTTTCAAAGCAACCTGCAACCTTGACAAAGCGAGAGTCCCAACAAGGCCGCCCTCTGCGGCAGTGTCCACTACCCCTTCATAGGATTTGGTGGTGATTCCACAAAATGACTCTCGCTGAGCGCCCTTGTACATCTCCTCGGACTGCGCTTTGCGACTTGCAATTGAGCCGTCTTCTTGGGAAAAATTCTCCACAAAATTCCGCAGCCACATGTGTGATCCATCGATCTGGCTGCCGGGGTGAGAAGCTACAAAGAAACCGGACTTTCCCGACGAGGAGTTTGCCGTCGACCATGATCCTGAGCCCGGGCCTCCGGTCAACTTGGACTTCTCTGGATGGGTGCGCTCTCTTCCCCAGTGTCCAACAGCATTGCACTTCCAACACCGGGTCCTCAACTTCAATTGTTCAATGCGCACCTTCTGCTTGGCTTTCCCTTTTCCCTTCCCTGATCCTCAAGGAGGGAAGAAGCCCCTGCCCAGTCTTTGCTCCTTCAATGCATCTCTGGCCTCACGGTATGACGCCAGGGCAGTGTGGATGTCCTTCTCATCGTACACCGTGTCCAAATCACCATCTGCCAAGTAGATGTACTCTTCATCGTCCGAGATCTGGTCACCTTCATCGACCATACCCTCGAGCTCCTCAGTCATATAGGCGCCCTTGCCCTTATCCTTGTCCCTGATCACCTTATCGAGCTTCCTCAGGGCCTTGACGATGGAGCTCTTGTCGTACTTGCCATCACACCAGGTAAGCAAGCGCTGCTCCTGGTGTTCGTTCAAACCTGACTGGCGAAACAGGATGTATCCTTGAGCTCCTTCAGGCAAATCGACACCTTCCCTAGACAGGCGGGAAAAAGCTTTTTCCATGCGGCCTATGTATTCAGCAAATCCCTCTTTGCTAGAACGAGGAGGGCCGTACACGGCATTCTCAAAAGCACGAGGAAGGCTAACCTCCAGCTGTGGCATGAAGAACTCCCTAAGCCTACGAAGGACATTGGAGACCCCTTCATCGCGCGCAATGTCTTCGAACGGCATGTCCTCCACCGCCAGTTTGGCCAGACCGCTCATGGCCCTGAGCAGTTTGGCACCTCTCTTCGCCTTCGGGACGTCGGTCTCCCACTCCCACAGCTTCGCGCTCCTTTCAAAAGATTGAAAGGTGGCCTCTGGATCTTCACCTGAGTAAGCCGGAGGTGGTTCTCTATCTCTAAAGCCCTCTGCCGTGCCGCCACTGGACCTCGCCTGCCCCCTGTCTTCCACTCCCCAGCTCGCCGAACGGTCCATGGCCTAGACCAAGCTCCGCGGTACCACTGTAAATGGCCCCCAGACCAGCAACACTTTTCCACGCGAACGAACGTGAGCGGGATCACCAGGGCCACTCGTATTGGGCCAGAACATCAACGCGATTGAGGGACACTCTATGGAAGCTCATGC